TGTAACTGTTTAACTGAAGCAATGATGTAGATGTTTGCAGGTGACCACAGCAGTGTGACCACAGCAGTTGCAGGTGCTGATGATGAGGAGGAATGATCATGGCTGAGCTTGATCATTTGCAGACTCTTTAACAGGCCCCCGCAAGCTGAGAGGGATGAAAGATCCCAGAAGCTTGTTTTGCAGATACAAAAACCGAGAAGAGGGGAGAGGTTTGGTGAACAAATCCGCAAGCTGATCCATGGAAGAAACATGATGAATAAGAAGTTTCTTGGCTGCAACTCTTTCTCGAACATAATAATAATCAACTTCAATATGTTTAGATATGGCATGAAACACAGGATTGCTGGATAAGGAGATTGCAGAGAGATTATCACACCAAAGGATGGGAGCGGGAACTGTAATATGAAGATCTAACAGTAGCATGCCAAGCCAGCTTAATTCAGCAGCAGTTTGAGCAAGAGCTCTATACTCAGCCTCAGTGGAAGATCTAGACACGGTAGGTTGCTTCTTAGCGGACCAAGAAATCAAATTAGGACCTAAAAACACACAATAACCAGTGGTTGAGCGGCGGTCAAGGGAACAGGCTGCCCAATCTGAGTCGGAAAAGGCATGTAAGGTAAGAGGACCAGGAGCAAAATGGAGACCTTGATGAAGAGTGCCTTTCAGATATCTGAGAATTCGTTTTACCAAAGCAAAATGACTGGTAAGAGGAGATTGAAGAAATTGACATGCATGATTAACAGCAAAAGCTAGGTCAGGACGCGTAATAGTAAGATATTGTAAGGCACCAACAAGACTGCGATAGAGAGAAGGCTGAGAAAAGGGTAAATCATCAACAGAATCAGTACAAGTTTTGAGAGGCAAAGGGGAAGGAGAAGCTTTGCAGTTTGTCATACCAGCTTTAACCAAAATTTCAGTAGCATACTTTCTTTGAGACAAAAAATATCCTGAGGAAGAAGTAGTAATTGAGATTCCTAAAAAATAATTGATCAGCCCCAATTCTTTCATAGAAAAGGTAGAATGCATCTGAGTAATGAGTGTGGAAATATAGGAAGAATCACTGCCTGTAAGTAAAATGTCATCAACATAGATTAAAAGGACAGTGATAGAGTGAGAAGTCTTTTTAACAAACAGAGAGGAATCACAATGACTAGCTTTAAACCCTTGAGTAAGAAGAAAAGAGGAAAAAGTGGAGAACCAGGCCCTAGGGGCTTGCTTGAGGCCATACAAGGCTTTATTGAGTTTGCAAACTAGGGAAGGTTTGTTTGGATCAACAAAACCAATAGGTTGATGCATATACACTTCCTCCTCTAAGATACCATGAAGAAAAGCATTCGAAATGTCCAGCTGTTTAATAGACCATTGAAAATGAAGAGCCAAACAGAGGAGAATGCGGATAGTAGGTTGCTTGGCAACGGGACTAAATGTGTCAAAGTAATCAATACCCTCAGTTTGAAGAAATCCTTTTGCAACCAATCGGGCTTTATGCCGAGCAATAGTTCCATCAAAATTTTTCTTAAGGCGAAAAACCCATTTACAACCAATAGCCTTTTTGTTGGGGGGAAGATGGACCAAAGTCCAAGTACCTTGTTTGATCAAGGCAGTGTATTCCTCCTTCATGGCAGTAGTCCATGCACTGGATTGAGAGGCCTCCTGATAGGATTGAGGCTCAGTATACTCAGAAGAGGTGAGAAAACACTGGTGCAGAGATTTAGATCTAGTGATCATGGGATGAATGTTAGGAGGAGAATTGAAGTGGATAATATGAGAAATAGGAGGTAAAAGAACAGATAAGGAAGAGATGGGAATTTGAGGCTTAGAGATAGAAGAAGAAGGAAGCAAACCAGTAGACTGAGACAGAACAGCAACAGACTTAGACAAACCAGCATCAGCAGACTGAGACAAACCAGCAGTTGGAGCAGAAACAGCAGGCAGACTGCCAAGAGGAGCAGCAGTGGCTGGAACAGAGTCAAATTGACCAAAAACAATTGGACTTGGTGAATGTGGTGAGATCTGAGACTGTGGTGAATTTGGTGACTGTGGGGACTGAGTTGAAGCAGGACTTGGTATTTGTGACTGTGCTGAAGTGTGAGAATGTGACTGATCTGAAACAGGAAAAACTGTAGATGGAGCAGACCAGAAAAATGAGGTCAGCTGGTGCAAAGATGGAGAAGCAGGCTTAACTGATGGAGGAGAGGCAAAAGGAAAAACATCTTCATCAAAAACAACATGTCTGGAAACATGAACTTGTCTAGTAGTAGGATCAAGACATCTATAGCCCTTGGTCGATGGAATGTAACCAAGAAACACACAAGGCACAGACCTAGGTTGAAGTTTATTGGAAACATAAGGTTTAAGCCATGGATAACATCTGCAACCAAAAGTTCTGAGCAATGTGTAATCAGGAGCATGATGGTACAACATTTCAAAAGGAGTAAGAAAATTGATCTTAGCTGTAGGAAGTCTATTAATGAGATAAACAGATGTGGCAAGGGCATCAAACCAATAAGCAAGAGGCAAGGCAGAGTGATGCATAAGGGCAATAGTAGTCTCTATGAGATGTCGATGTTTCCTCTCTGCTACTCCATTTTGAGCAGGTGTGTGAGGACAACTTAACTGATGTTGGATACCATGATGCTTTAAGAAATCATGAAACTTAGTGCTAAGATATTCACCACCATTGTCACTTCTTAACACTTGTAATTGAGTAGAGAATTGTGTTTCAACAAATGCTTTAAATTCCAAAAACTTATGAAAAACTTCACTTTTATAATGGAGAGGAAACAACCATGTGAACTTGCTATAGTCATCAATGAACAACACATAATATTTGTAGGAAGAAACAGATGAAGTAAATGGTCCCCATACATCAGAGTGAATAAGAGCTAATGGCTTATTAACTGTAGAATTAGACAAGCTAAAAGGGAGTCTATGACTTTTGGAAACACAACAATGAGAGCACATTTTATTATCAATATCAGATGGAACATTTACAGATGAAGAAGGGAACAAATGATGTGTAATAATGTGCTGAAGTTTCCTTGAAGAAGGATGGCCTAATCTAAAATGCCAATGAGAAGAATTAACAATGGACTGGAAACAAGCTGGTGATGCAGATGCAGAAGATGGAGCAGCACTAGGGAGATGATAAAGACCACGGGAATGAAGACCTTTATATAGCACCTTCTTGGTACTCTTGTCCTGTATAATGAACATATCTTTGTCAAAAGTAATAGTGCAATGATTATCAGAAATAAGCTGATGAACAGAAATTAAGTTGGAAGAAATGGAAGGTACATGAAGCATGTTTGAGAGATGGAAAGGAAAAGAAGGAGTAGGGAGAAGACCTTGACCAGTGTGATGAATAGGTAAGACAGTTCCATCACCAACAGTAACCTAATCATGTCCATGATATGGTTGATAAGAAAAGAGATTGTTCAAGTCATTTGTGATATGACTAGTAGCTGCTGAATCAAGAAACCAGTTGGTAGTGGTGGAAGAACTGTTAGCAGGAGAACTAGTAGCAAACTGATTTGTATTGGTAATATAGGCTTGATGAGTTTGAGGCCTTGAAGAGTGGAAAGAAGATGTGTCCAATCTGTACCAACACTCTAATGCTGAGTGATTCAATTTTCCACAAATCACTTGAGAAGAATGAGGATGAGAAGCAGCAAAGTATGCAGTAGAACTTGATTGATAAGACTAAGATCCTGTGTGACCTTGGCTTGAAGTAGAAGATCTGCCTCTTCCTCGAAAAGTAGCATTGCTAGAACTAGAAATTCCTTTAAAGAACCTGCTACTAGTTCTTCCTCCTCCTCGACCTCTGTAAGAACCACCTCTAAAGCCACCTCTAGAAGAAGTGCTTGAAACATGATAAGCAAAAGGTAATTCTGAAGCATGAGCTTGCTTTGATGAAGATTCAACATGAATGGATTCAAAATTTAATAGGGAACATAGCTCTCCAATGGAAATGGTTTCAACTCTAGTTCGGATTGTTGTTTTGAATGCATTATATTCATCAGGCAATCCATTAAGAATTAGGAGAACCAGATCCTCATCATCAACAGGTGATGCAGCTAGAGCCAATTGGTCAGCAATGGACTTGATCTGAGTCAAATAGGTATCCATTGTGTGGCCTTTCTTCACAATTTGACTAAGTTGATTCTTCAACTGATGAATATGTGATCGTGACAAAGATGTGAAACGTTTGAGCAGAACACTCCACACTTCATGACTTGTGGAACAATGTAACACAGAGGTGAAGATAGATGGTGAGAGAGTTGCAGTTAAGCAACTGAGAAGATGAGAGTCAATCAGCATCTAATTTGTATAGTCTGGATTCAGAATCTCATGATTGTGTTCATCAATGATAGTGGATGATGGACATACCTGTGTGCCATCAACAAAACTGAGAAGCTGTGTAGCTTTCAGAATATTGTGAACTTGATTCTTCCAGATAATAAAGTTTGTGGCATCAAGTTTGACAGTGACGAAGGCATTCAGATTTGTAATGAGTAGTGCAAGATTTGGAGGTATGGAAGATGAAGAAGAAGATACAGCAGAAGAGGACAGATTCAGAGACGGCAAGGAAGATGCCATTGATGAATCCTCAAGAACTAATGCTCGCAAAAGATAAGTGGCTCTGATACCATAACAGATATTTTGCAGAAAGTAAAATATTTTTATATTTTTCAGAATGAATGAATATTCAATTTACAGAAATGAAGATATTTATAAACTACACAAACTAACTCTGGTTCAAGCTAACCAATGCATAACAAACTAACTACCTCTAGTTTATTCTGTAACTAACTAACTACTCTGTTAATTATCTAACTGATCTGTAACTGTCTAACTGAAGCAATGATGTAGATGTGGCCACAGCAGTTGCAGGTGCTGATGATGAGGAGGAAGTTGAAGCTGTCAACTGAGTAGCTGGAGCTGGAGAAGCTTGATCAGGACTAGAAGCTTGATCATGGCTAGACTCTTTAACAGAAAGGAGCAAAACCGAGAAGAGATGGAGAAAAAAGAGGGTTCGAATGAGCAAAACCACCGGACAAGGGTTTCAATCTCTCTCGATATTGCATTCTCTACCCAATTTTTTCTTTGAATTCGAAGATTTGTATTCCGACTTCGATTAATTAGATGTTTTGTTGTTTTTGTGAAGTGAAGGTACACTCTCTGCTTAATGTTTTAATGTTGATTTTTGGGATTTTTTTTTAAATGAACGATATGAGTTTTCTGAGGTTTCATATTAGGGCTCGGGTTCTGAGATCTTTCGGCACATTTTTATTTTCTGATACTTTTTTGAGTTTGAGATTTCTTGATGCTTTGAGACGATTAGTTGTTTTTGAATGGGACACTTGTGCACCTCATTTTTTTCTATTGGGTTTATCATTATGTCGGCATTTTGTGAATCATTTGTTAGGTATATGGGGTGAAGATTTAATCTAGAGAGTTTCTGGGTTGAGGAATTGTGATTTTTAAATTTAGGTTTTAATGATTTTAGGACTTGTAATTTGGGTATACCAATACAACAAAAATAAGTGTGAATCATCAAATTACTCCTCAAAAAGATGATTGACTATTAAAATCAATGAAGACCCTATCACTTGATTTGATACTTCACAATTGTTTTTTTGGTTTTTATTGAAAAAAATATAAATTATGGTTGTGTTGTTAAAGTTTTTGTTCGTTTAGAACATGTGTGATACGGGAAAGGTATATTGAAATTGAAACAAAATGTGTATTTATATCTGTGTATTTAGAACATGTGTATTTATTCGTTTTGTGTGATTTTGAACTCAGATTTCTATAAATTGAGTTTTTTTTTTAGATGATTGAACACAAAACAACTTGCTCTCTGGAGTTTCAAGAATTTTATGTGTAAATTGGGTCTTTAGTCACTTTATTACAGTTAAATTATTAAATAAGTTCGATAATATAAATATTGACATGTAGTTTTAAATGTTAACTTCAGAGTATTTAGAATGAAATTTTATTTTGACCACTCACTTTCAAAATATTGTCGTTTGGTAACACTTACGTTTTCAGTTTTCTGTTTATATTTACAAAAATTTTAAAAACTCAAATAAAAACTTGTTTGGTAAAATTTTTGATTTATAAATCAGTGGTCTCAGTTTATAAATTTGGCCAAAAAATGAAAACACAAAAAATGGGTTTCCGTTTTGAGTTTTGAGTTTTTTTTTTTTTACCCCCCAACATTAGCCACCACCCGCCACCATTTTCCACCACCGTCTTCCGCCACCACCACCACCCACCCCTCCACCACCACCACCACCACCACCACCACCACCACCACCACCACCACCACCACCACCACCACCACCACCACCACCACCACCACCACCACCACCACCACCACCACCACCACCACCACCACCACCACCACCACCACCACCACCACCACCACCACCACCACCACCACCACCACCACCACCACCACCACCACCACCACCACCACCACCACCCTATTCCCAGACGGAGAGCATAAACTTCGATGCTCGAGCGGAGTGCACGTACTCAGAGTGTACGCTCGAGCGTAAAGTTCAACGTTGGAGCGTGGATCAAATTTCTGGAATTTCCATATTTGATCACAAAGCTCAAATTCGACCTTTGAAGCATCAAACTCAATTTTCTGGGCCAATAATTTGAGGAAATACATGAAAACCCATAATACAACATGTTTAAAGAATCATTTCAAGAAATCATGGCCCAAGAGCAAACCAATTATGCACAAACTCAACTTCAACTTTGTAGGTGACCCAAAACTAAGAAAATCACCCAAGTGAATCTAGTAAAGTCATCCACACAAACAAGACAATAAGATTTACCACCAAGACTTAAAGTTCTAGAAGGTCCGAACAAGTCAATATGCAACAATTGAAGAGGTCTAGAAGTGGAAATAATATTTTTAGATTTGAAAGAAACTCTTGTTTGTATTCCTTGTTGACAAGCATCACAAAGTCTATCTTTTTCAAAATCAATTTTTGGTAAACCTACAACTAAATCAAGTTTTGAGAGTTTTGAAGGCAAATTTATATGAGCATGTCCTAGCCTCCTATACCACCCAACACGCCACCGTCACCCACCCACACCCACCACCACCACCCATCCGCCACCACCCACCGTCACCACTTTCCACCACCGTCTTCCGCTGCCACTTGCCACCACTTATCATTTCTCACTCTTTTTTATATTTTTAAAATTTTTTAAACATTTAGTCAATTACCAAACGCGTTTGTAGTTTATGTTTTTCTAAAAATAAACAAAAAATAAACAAAAACCAGTTTATAAAATTTTTGTAAATATAAACTGAAAACGTAAACGTTACCAAACACACCATTCTAAGAAATTGCTATTACAATTCTTTGATATGTTACATTCTCTTGTTGTGTGTATTGTGTTTGCCTTTGGGTGCTGCTACTGGAAGATGATCAGAGGAGGCTTTCAAAACAGAACTTGCTGTGCATCTGCTAGTGCTGTTGGAGATCTATTCCTGCTAGTTTCTGCTGCTGATTTTTGCTGCTGCAAAGCTATTTTAGGTGCTGATTTTTGCTGCTGGTTTTTTTCTTGGCTTTGGTTGGTTGCTTACCAACTCTTGATGGCGTGCTAGCAAAGGATTGGACGAGCATATTGGTGCTAACCTAATTGGGATTGGTATGTCTCACTATGATACTTTTTGCACTCATCTCTTTTCCTTTCTTGATGTAATGAGTTCTTTGTTCATCAATAACAGTTTTATTTTTCCAATCTAAAAAAAAAAAAGAAAAAGAAAGGACCTAAAACAGTTAAATATTGTTTTAGTTTGTGAGAAATTGATTTTAGGTTTTTATACTTATAATTGGTCTGTTATAATTTGTAGAATCTATAATAATTTATATTTTAATTTAAAACAGTGGCTAATTACAATTTGGTTGGGTGTAAATGTCTAGCATTGGTCTATACTGTTTGGGTGCTTAACTGGCACTTATTGAAACACTTATTACTTGTATTACATATCTTTTGTAAGTTAACATGATGATTGAATAGAACATAAGATAGCATGGGTGTTACTGTCATTCAATGCCTTTTGTTATTGTGATACATTCTTTTCTATAATCAAATAAATGTTGTGACTTTTTTATTCATATACTCGTGCTTATATTGACTATAAAATTATTATCCAATTTATTGCTATTATTCTATATACTTAATTTTTTGTCCAGGTGTATATTCTCCTATTGTTTATTGTCATTCTTATGATAATATGTGCACTAAATATTACGTTCATTATTTTGTATCATTTATTTCACTGCTACTCATTTGCTACAAGCTGCACTTAAAAAAGTAATAGGCTAGGAAACATCACAAGCTGGTTCATTGGTGGCTTTTGATCGTCTTAGATTTGATTTCAACTTCCACCGGCCACTTTTGGATAATGAGCTCACGGAGATTGAAGGACTGATCAATAGCTGGATTGAGGACTCTACACTTCTGCAAACTAAAGTGATGCCTCTAACTGATGATAAAAAGGTTGGGGCTATTGCAATGTTCGGAGAAAAATATGGAGAACAGGTTCAAGTTTCTATAAAATCTTTTCTTTTGTACTTCTGAGTTCTGACAGAAAATGGTGTTAAAATATACGCTCATTTCACAACACATAAATGCTATAACTTATGGAACATACTTTTACATAGGATTTGATTTTTCCTTCAAATACTGTGATTATTTTAGGTACGTGTTGTAGAGGTTCTGGGTGTGTCCATGGATCTATGTGGTGGCACTCATGTCAGCAGTACTTCTGAAATACGTGGCTTGAAAATAATCTCAGAACAGGGGATTGCGTCTGGAATCAGACGTATAGAAGCCATTGCTGGTGATGCTTTTATCGAATGCTAGAGATAACTACATGAAACAGCTCTGCTCCACTCTCAAAGTATGTTTTCTTCTGTAATCCTTTTTCTAAATAAAGAACACCTAATTGTTTCTAATGTTTTCATTATTAAAATTCATTCTGCAAATGTGAAAGCTGAAGATGTACCAGCCAGGGTAGAAACACTATTGGAGGAATTGCGAATGGCAAGAAATAAAATTTTAGCTATTCATGCTAAAGCAGCAATTCACAGAGCCTCAATCATCGCAAACAATGTATTGCTTGTAGGAAATTCTAAAAATATCAGGTATTAAATTAACTTTTGTAGTTCCATCTATTTTAAAGAGTAGAAATTTGTGACCTAGTTGAGACAGGTTTATAACTGATGCTAAAAAAGCTAGGGCTATTGCAATGTTCGGAGAAAAATATGGAGAACAGGTGCAAGTTTCTATAAAATCTTTTCTTTTGTACTTCTGAGTTCTGACAGAAAATGGTTGTTAAAATTAGTGACAGCCTAGCAACTTCATATATTTGGTATAATTTAAGTCTGTAAGTTTTGTCATTGATATGCAAATTGAAAAATAATGATGTTAAGTAAAAGGATAAAAATGATTTATACCATTCTAAAACTTAAATTAGTAGATATCAGACAAATATGTTGTTTACATATATGCTTTTCTGATTTTGAATGATCTGTCATGCTTTAAGGCTTTTGCCTTTTCAAAATTGGTGAGGAGAGTACATCACATATTTATTTAGTTCATTTTATTGTGTATGTTTTTCAGTTGCCACTTTGCTGCTGATGAACATTCACTAAACAAGTGTTTTAATTCTTAAAAATTGATGGGATTTTGTTTATACATTATATATAAGGGTCAGAATTTCATTTCAGTACATTATTTTAGTTAGCTTGGAAATAGAAACATGAGGAAAGCAAAAAAAAATGTTTGTAAACAAAAACCAAAACCTACCTTAATGGATAATAGGTGTGTTTTAATATTTCAAATAGGTGTGTTTTAATATTTCAAATGAATTTTTATTGGCGGAGATTCATTGGTGGAATCTTTTGGGTAGAATTATGGATGGCAATTAAATCCGAACCCAATGGAAACCCACCCTGCCCCGCTATTATTAGAGCGGATTTCCCCAAATTCGCCCCCAATGATTAACTGTTTTTCTTCTCTCATTCAATATTAACAATACTTGTCTTGAGGATTTCTTAGGCATTGGGGGTTGTTTTACCCACTCTGTTTTTCCTATTAATATAGTTTGTTATAGAATGTAAGATATTCTTTTTAAAAAGGGGAAAAAAAGATAAAAAGAAAGGGAATGGAGCGCTAGGTGTACCAATATGGATGTGACAGTTGGGCATTTGGGATGACGCGAGTGCTATGGGTTTCATTGATAAAATGGGAGAAAGTTCTTCCAAGAAGATGGGAGATTACCAACACAAGAAGCTGCCTATGATTAATGTCCAAAACAAATGTATTGCTAGCATTCCTTTTAAAAATTTCTTGGTTTACATCTCCTTAGAGTAGTTGATATGTCAGGGATAATTACATGCAATGGGCATATATGAAGGACTTCCCCTGAGGATTTTCTTCTTTGATGTTTACACACAGGTTATATCAGGAAAAGACCAGGAACAGTTTGGTTTTCCTGATATCTTTTACCAGAATGTTGATCATTTTGGGTGGGGAATGCATTATTGTCCCAGTAGCTGCCTATTCCTTTTGATCGATCACATGAGTTGAAATCAATCCAGCTGCTCTGTAAATTTCTACGGATGGTATAAAGAGGGCAGAGCTTCTTAAGATCAATTTTTCCTTGCAGATGGTACTAATGCTACAAAATTGATTCATCTATATTTCAAATTTAATTTTTCATCACATGCCAGCTTCTTTATCATTCTAAACTATAGCCACCTTACATGCTCAGAAGATTCAGATGCTGATCTCAAAATTATTTATACTTTCATAAATAATTGAATTGTTAGAAGTGTTGTAGATTGTGAATATGACTTATCAATGTTTTTGGAAGAACATTGATCTAGGGTTCAAGTCTTTGCAAAATCTGTATTATTCATTCTTTGAAATGTGGCAAAACGATGCAACATGTAGTACTCAATTTCTTAGAATTCTACTTCCTGATTGATTTCTAGTTTCCATTAAAAAGACAATATTGGAGTGATGAGCTGATAGTCTCTTGCAAGAACTGAACTGTCAAGGGTCGCCCCACTCCTTGACAGTTCCAAGGGAGGATCAGCATGAGGTGTGTGGCTGTTTTGGGCCAGTCACCACTGCTCTTTCATTATTCTCTTCATCCTTCATGTTTGATAAGCTTATTGAACATTTACTTCCAAGTACATAACATAAGGTCTTGCTAGCAATCCTTCAATTAACCCCGCATTTGTTTCTCTTCTTTACAGAGCTTGCTGAAGAGGCAAATAGGCTTGTGAACTAAGGTTGTCTCTTCTCTTTTTTTGTGTTATCTTGTTGTTGCACACTGTAGTATTAAAGTAGCTGGATAGACTATTGGTTTTCACAGTGTTGTCTTCATTTTGGTTGCATTCATTGTATAAACTAACAAATCACAGCAGCATTATATGATTACTCTTCAATGCCCTTAAAGTTTATATTTGATGTAACAGGCATGAGTTAAAGACAAACCTTCTATAATCATGCTGTGTAGTCATAACATATGAGTTAATTTAAAGGTTTGAACTGTCAGATGGTTAGGTTTCCTGATCAGGCACTTTGATAATACCAATTTGTAAATGGTATTTTCAAAAAAGATTCCAGATATGACTATTTATCTTGTTTAACCAATTTGTCCTTGTTTATTCATGCATGAACTTCATTTTAGGCACAATTTGTAAAAATACTAAGATATCTAACCATCCTTAATGATGCTAATACATAGACATTTCTTCATGTTATATCACTTATCTCTAACTACTTTAAAGGCTAAAATGACTTTGATTTCTGCAGTGGAAGCTCTTGGTGAAATAGCTAAACAACTGGGTAAAAAAGGCTGGAATTTCAATTTGAAACATTGTGACAAAAACTTGAACTGGCAAACACCAATAGTGGACTCCTCCCTTATGTATGACTGTACTGTCAATTGCACCTGCCTTTCTGATGATGAATGTCACATCAGTGCCATGTATGTTCCTTTTTATGTTTTTAAATATACTTATTATTCAACTCCATTTTTTGCTTAAAATGTTATTTATGATTTATTTATTTATTTATTTTTAAATTAGGAGGCAATGATGTTTGAATACTAGCCTATGCTCTGTATGTTAAAACTTATTAATGTCAGTTGAAAGTCCAAATTCTGTTTTGTATAGATGAAAAAAAGAGTAATGTGCTGAGAAAACCCTGGTATTGTTCTGCCACTTCTTATTTACATGACGCAAGCGGTTGCCATGAACATCTATTCATATATTGCTAATTACTAGGATTCTTGGGAAAATTAAGGTCGTATTTTGATGTCCCACAGAAAGGGAATGACTGCCAACAGTACTCATAGTAATTCAAAGTGGAAATCTGATATTTTGAGTATGCAAAGTGACAAGAATAAATGGCAGCCAATCTACAAATGAAATTCAAAATAACAAATATTGTCATGTACTAAAAGAACATAAATATGATCACTTTCAAGATAAATGAGCGAGTTTTCTGTTCTTCATTAGGTGACCTCATTTTAGTAACAGTTGATTGAACTTTCACTTCTCATACCATAAAATGTGTAGTAGGTGCGTTCAAGTTCAGTTCAGAAATGTTAATGTCCAAAACACCAGAGGCACCAATACACATCTATAATTAGGCATGTAAATCTGCAGGATGTATGGACTCTAATTACTTGGAGTTTTTCATGTTTTGTGCTTTTAATTATTTGTTGTTATACATTATTGGTTTTTGAAAAATTGAATTCTGTAATTATTTATTTTCATGGATATGACTCTCTTAGGTAATATATTGTATACAAATCTCTAATTCAAGAATGAATAATTGATTGCTTGAAGAATTTTGCTGGGCTGCTGCTACTGCAATGTTGCTGTGAAGCGGGCTGCTTCTAGATGCTGGTCTGCTGCAAATTTGGGTTGTTAGTTTCATGTTTTCATTTTGTTATCTGTTGTTTTTACTATGGGTTCACAATTTGGATGTATTTGAGTATTTTAGTGAGTTTACCCTTTCAAGTTTTATACACCGCTTCCAAAAGCATATTTTTCAGCAGTATTTTTTTGCCTACACATCAACTTTAGGTGATTTAATATCAATGTTATTAGTTTGCAATAGTAGTGCCTAAGGGATGCCTCTTGTAAATGTGTAAATCTTATGAAAAAATAAAAATGATTTTCAATTTTTTTTGCCGTTACAAATTTGTCGTTGCCAAAAAGTAAAGTTTTCTCGACAAACAACTTGTTGGTAAATGTATAGCCAAAAGTTTTTTTTTTTGCCCACTCATATTGTGTTGCTAAAAGTGTATTTTTTGCCAATGCCAATTTGTCGTTGCCAAAAGTAAAGTTTTAGCGACAAACAAATCGTCGGCAAATGGCAACATTTACCGACGAAAATGTGTCGCTAAAAGTTTACTTTTGCCGATGCATATTTTGTTGTTAAAAGTATATTTTTTGCCCATGCAAATTTGTGTTGCAAAAAGTGTCACACAATCATCATATTTGAATGACTTTTACCGACGCAAGGTAAATTGCCGATGATGGATGAAGGCTTTTATCGACGACTATGTTCGTCGCTAAAGGCATTACTTTTACCAACGCAACGATAATTTCGTCGGCAAAAATTTTTGCCGACTCACTTTTGCCTACGGGTTGCCAACGTAGCTTTGTGCGTCGGCAAAACTCTTTGCCAACGAATTTTCCCTTTTAGCAACATATTTTGTTGCGTTGCGAAAAATGCAATTTCTTGTAGTGAGAGAGAGAGAGAGAGGGAGAGAGAGAGATTATTCTATGATTACTCCTCTTCTTCTTATTCATTTTTGTTTATTTATTTAACATGTTAATTATCACAGCTAAAACATGACAAAGAAAAGTTTTCTTTCTCTCCATTGATCAAAGAAGGATTTAGAATGAAATCTCTAGGGGGTCCCTTTTTGAGGAAAATGATTTATATATAGAATCTAGGAAAGTCCTATAATTTTCTTTCACCATAATTTGCCCATCTTTTCATATATATATATATATATATAACAACACAGAGTCACAACTTTTTAGGGTTTGAAAAGCTATATTTTCATATATTTGCATATAAAATCAACCATAGTTCAAATTCTCATGGTTTATTAAATTTTGTTGTTTTAAACTTAAAGTTCTTTCATTTCATCACTTGTGTCAAATTACCCCCTCAAACTATCATATTCAGCCCCCAGGTCATAATTAAATAAAAAAATTATAAAAAAAAAAATAGATCATATATTACATATTAATGACAAAACAGATCATACATTAAAAAAAAGATCATCAATGGCATATATATTTAAAATAAACAGATTAATAATTAAAAAACAGATCATACATTACATATCAGTTCGCAAAGTCACCAATAAATCAATAAACAGATTATATATGTGCTCTCCAAACAAAGCCTATACACCCTAGATTTTCACAATTTCTTCACATCCAAACAGGAAAATGTAGAAAGAAAATACAATACCATTGTAGAAAGAAACACAATCCCATTTTGTCACGACCCAAACCCGCCCCTATAGGTTTAGCATCGTAACCGCCCAATAATCCTTGGATTACCGAAGGTCTTTGAACAGATTAACAAAATTAAGGGGCTAGCGGAAGCTAATACATAAATATAATTGTCCAATGAGCTGTGCTGACTTATATGAAATGGAATATTTAAAAACTTTATATACATAATCAAAAGTCATTCATACATTATACCCACACACATTAGAGTATCTTAAGTACAACCAACAGAACAAACGAGTCTTATATATACAGAAACAACAGAACTTAAACACTTGAAACACTCCAGGAACCTCCACGTGAGACACAAGGGTTGGCTGACAATAGAACACAGATCCAGACAAAAGCCTTCAGGCTCGATCTCCAGAATGCCCACCTATACATATATATACACATAGTGAGCTAAAGCCCAGTGAATAACATCAATGTAAAGAGGTTAGTGAATGAAATCCGAATATATCATAAGCGTAAAACAGATCATAGCATAATCATTCTCGTATCATAACATGATAATGGTACATTCCATAGAACACATCACATAACGTCTTCCGACTAGAGTAATCGGTTCCGGATACCGATTAAACACATATGACCACAATGAAGTGGCTAACGAGATCTCGTAATTACTTATATGTCATGGACTCGCATTTTCATGTCGTCCCCCATGACTTGGGACTATCCATGGATGCCATAATAGATTTCAAACATGGAATATTCGTTCATGAAAACAGATATCATTTTAGAAATCACAGTTTCTCATATTTCATTTAGAACATAATTCATATGAACGTATCTTTACGATAACGTTACTCACAGTGGTTCCAGTAAGCGGCAATCAATCCTCGAGTCTTGACCTACAATCACAAAATACATAACACAAGCATGTCTTATCATTACACATTCAAGTGACCATTAAGGCTTAGCTTTCATTACATTGGTTCTTATTCTTTCTTATCACATTGCCTAAAACACACACACATGTGCAGTCTCGGAACTTAGTACATTCTTTTCTTAGTGTGTTTCTAATCTATAACCTCATTACTATGGCTTAATTAAGGCTTAGAAATGCCTAAGATGCAATGAGGATGCCAAAACATGCCTTGGAACACTTAGGAAAAATTTCTGAAAATAAGGTCCACGCTCGAACGTAGCTTTCCTCGCTTGAGAGGACATGCAAAATGTGAATGGTCGCTCGAGCGCACATTACTTCGCTCGAGCGATCTGTAAAAGACATGAAACTTCTGGGAGCTTGCAATTCACGCTCGAGCGGACTTTTGGTCGCTCGAGCAGAGTGCATGCACTTAGAGTGGTCGCTCGAGCGTGAACTCCTACGCTCGAGCGTAGATGCAAATTCTGGAATTTCCAGATTGCACCTTCAAGCTCAAAACTCGAATTCCAACCTTCAAAACACATCTCTTGGGCCCCAAAACTTAAGATAACATAGTAAACTTGTAAAATATGAAGAATTACGGATTATTTCATAAAATCATGGCCCAAGAGTTTGTTAAAAACTCACAATTTCAACTTAAAACATGATGAATGTTCATGAACACAACATGCATGGGTTTTCTTGGTCTTGAGCTTCCCAAAACATGATCAAACACCACAAAACAACTTGAAGCTTGATGATTTCCCCAAATGAAGATGAATTTCAAAAATGCAAGAGAGGATTCATGGAAATCATGCTCAATTTGTAAGAAAATGTACATGCATGCATGAATTGCCACTCAAATCTTCCTTCTAAGCTCAAAACACACCCTTAAACACATAATCTTCATGTTGATAACTTAGATTCATAATTTAGGGGTTGAATTCATACCTATAGTCTTGAATTAATCTAGCTCTAGCTTAGTTTTGATGAATCTAAGCCAAGGTCTTCAATTCTCCTTCAATTCCTTCAACTCTCTCTCTAGAATTACACACACTCTCTCTCTAAAAGAAAACCTCAGATTTTTGCACTAAGGGGAGCAAAGAATTGAGCTCAAAAATGAGTTAAGGCTCATATATATGTTTATGGTACTAAAACACATTAATTAGAAATTAGGCTAACCAAACATGACTTAATTACTCGTTCTGAGTCAATTTTTAATAAAACTTGCCATATGGTTCTAAAAATTCCAAATAACATATCGGTGTAGTCAATTTCGGTTTCGGATGTCGATAAGGCTTTCAATTTACATATTAAAGTGGAATTCCAAATAGATATTTATATAAGTAACAGATAGAAGGCCAAATATCATGCAATTTACATATTAATCCCATAATTCATTTGATCCACTCAATTAGCATCTTTAATCATGGGCTCTCAGTAATTATTACATATTCTTAAATTGTGTTTAAATTGCGAATTTGAAAAAAAAAATATGATATATATATATATAATAAATAAATTTAGAAGAAAAAAAAAAGGTTGAAACAGTGAAATCCTTAGATCGCAATATGTATACACTTAGTCTGATATATATATATATATATGTATGTAAACCCTAGATTGAAATCCCTAGAGAGAGAGAGAGAGAGAGAGATACCCTTTCAAAATCGGCGGTAAGGTAAGAGAAGATCGGTGGTGAGGGAGCAAAGAAAACAGCAGCCCCGTTGTGTGTGTGTGTGTGTGTGTGAGGAGTAGCGCCGTTGTGCTTGTGTTTGTGTATGTGAGTGAGAGACTAAGAGTATGTCAAACCCTAAACAAACACACACATATATATACCCAGCGACATAATAGTAATTTTACGTCGGGGGCTAAACGGGGCGGGGTCGGGTCCGGGGCTTGGACATGTATCCCCGTCCCCAGCCCGGATATTATCGGGGATTCATTTTTTAATACCACCCCCAGCCCATCGGGGGTATTTTTCTGAAATAACCGCTCAATTCAAGGTCGGGGGGTCCGGTCCTCGTCAGGTCAAGTTTAGATTGCCATCCCTAGCTAGAACCTCAAAATCTTTTGGTCCAGATTTTCTAACTTTTTTGTTAGAAAATGAGCCTTTAACTTTCAAAGAAGCTATGTCCAGTCCTGAGGCTCCTTTATAAAAAGAAACTGTAAATAGTGAAGTTGAATCCATCTTGCAAAATCACACTTGGGAATTAGTGGACTTACCGCCAAGTTATAAACCTCTTGGGTACAAGTGGATTTTCAAGAGAAAAATGAAAGCGGATGGATCAATTGATAAATACAAGGCAAGACTTGTGACCAAAGGATATAGACAAAAAGAAGGTCTTAACTACTTTGACACATACTCACCAGTTACTAGAATAACATCCATTAGAATGCTAATTGCCATTGCATCTTTGTACAATCTAGAAATGCATCAACTGGATGTGAAAATCGCTTTCTTAAATGGTGAGTTAGATGAAGAAATTTACATGGAACAACCAGAAGGATTTTCTGTTCCAAGAAAATAAAAGAAAGTGTGTAAATTGGTTAAATCATTATATGGTTTAAAACAAGTGTCAAAGCAATGGCATGAAAAATTTGACAAAGCAATAATGTCAAATAGATTCAAAATTAATGAATGTGACAAATGCGTTTATATTAAAAAC